CCCCCCCAATGTCTGTCCTGCCTTGCAATGCTTATTGCCTTCCGTTTCTCCCCCGCCCCACCTTGGCAGGATGGAAACCTACGAGGACCACCCTTGGTGCCCTTACGGCTACCAGAGCGAGGAGGAGGAGGAGGAGCACCACCATGACCCCCACCTGGCCAAGGTGCGAGAACGGAGCAACAGCCAGCACCGCCACCGGCGGTCCTCCTTCCTCGTGGACGAGCTCGACATGCTGATGGACAAGGCGGCCACCACCATCCAGGCCACGTGGCGGGGCTACCTGACGCGGAGGAGGCTGATGTCAGAGCACGCGGCCGCCTCCACCATCCAGGCCGCCTGGAGGGGCTTCATCACCCGGGAGTACCTGGCCATGCAGCAGGACCAGGTGCCCTCGTGGAACGTGCGTGGCCACCGGAGGAGGACTCCTTCGCCCGTCTCGTCCGAGGACGGGAGGCGGTCCTGGGGGCACCCCTCCATGGAGAAAGAGAAAGCGGCCGAGGTCATCCAGGCCCACTACCGGGGGTACATGACCCGCCGGGCCATTTCCCAGTGCCACGAGGCAGCCACCACCATCCAGGCCCACTGGAGGGGCTACCGTACCCGCCAGGATCTGGCCGAAGGACAGCAGCCCATGGACCACGGGTCCCACGGCCACCGGAGCCGCGTGGCGGGAGGCCCTTCGAGAAGGGGCCCGCATCCCAGGCCGCACTGGCAGAAGGTCCTTGTGGGCGAGCCTGAGGAGTGGCGACCCAAGGTGCCGACCCGGCCGCCCGAGGGGAGGAGGAGAGGAGAGAGGGCAAAGCCGCCCAAGGAGAAGACGTGCCCTCAGTGCGGAAGGTGCACCACCGTCCGGGTGCTGGCGGGGGTGGGCAAAGGCCCGCCCGCTGAATCGGAAGCGGACGAGAGCGATTACGAGGGGAACTCCTGCTCCCCCTCTGCCTCGGGGTCGAATCCCTACAGAAACTGCTCCTCCGGCCCTCACGTGTCGTACTCCAAGTGCCCTCCGAACTCGGGCCACTGCCGACCGGTGGCTTGTTACCCCCACCGGCAGGGCTGCGGCCCGTGCTGCCCCAGAGGGATGTGCCCGCACTACACCCCGCGGCCCATGAGGGACTGCAGCGGCGCCAGCCGGAGCCTCTCGTCCACCAGCGTACGCTACCTGAGAGACCCCGCCGACGGCACGGCCGACTGGCTGTTTGAAAACTACTGCACCCGCCCGATCGGCGAGGGCCAGACACGCGTCTTCAAGACGAGGAAGCACATGTGGGAAGTGGTGAGGGCGGCCACCCTCATCCAGTCCTTCTGGCGGGGGTGGAAGGCTCGGCGGGCCCTGCGCCTCCAGCAGGCGGCTGCCACTCGGATCCAGTCGGCCTACCGGGGCTACAAGACCCGGGCCTACCTCACGGAGGCCGGCGTGCTGAGCGAGGGAGACACGGACTGACCACAGCTTGCTGCTGCGGGCGTCCCGGGTCCGGCCAACGGGAGAAACCCCGGGGGTGATGGGCCTGGGCTCTCTCCACCCCCCTCCTCCCTCCTAGCCTATGACAACAAAGCGGCTTACAGCCCAATAAATTGAATGAGAATTACAATAAATCTGTGCTAACGGGGCAGAAAACCAGGGTTTCCGTCCTATGTTTTCAGTTCTTATTTTTTAAGAAAGGCTTTGCGACCAATGCTCCCTCTAAGGTATGGAGTCCTGTGAGTGAAATTCTACTTTGTGAGCTCCTGGCATTAAAGTTGTGGGTGAGCGATTTGGCTACTGCATCAATTGGTTTGCTCTGGAGCCCTCCTTCCTGAGCCAAGACAAAAACGTGTGAGCCGGAGGCTAAAAAACTGTGAGCCAGCTCACACTGACTCAGCTTAGAGGGAACACTGCTCTGGAGCCCTCCTTCCTGAGCCAAGACAAAAACGTGTGAGCCGGAGGCTAAAAAACTGTGAGCCAGCTCACACTGACTCAGCTTAGAGGGAACACTGCTCTGGAGCCCTCCTTCCTGAGCCAAGACAAAAACGTGTGAGCCGGAGGCTAAAAAACTGTGAGCCAGCTCACACTGACTCAGCTTAGAGGGAACACTGCTCTGGAGCCCTCCTTCCTGAGCCAAGACAAAAACGTGTGAGCCGGAGGCTAAAAAACTGTGAGCCAGCTCACACTGACTCAGCTTAGAGGGAACACTGCTCTGGAGCCCTCCTTCCTGAGCCAAGACAAAAACGTGTGAGCCGGAGGCTAAAAAACTGTGAGCCAGCTCACACTGACTCAGCTTAGAGGGAACACTGCTCTGGAGCCACCCTTCCTGAGCTAAGACAAAACTGCGTGAGCCGGAGGCTGAAAAACTGTGAGCTAGCTCACACTAACTCAACTTAGAGGGAACACTGCTCTGAAGCCTTCCTTCCTACACCAGTTTGGTGTCGTGGTTAAGTGCGCGAACTCTAATCTGGGAGAACCGGTTTTGATTCCTGCACTCCTCTACTTGCACCTGGCTGGATGGCCTTGGGCAAGCCGTAGCTCTGATAAGAGCTGTTCTTGAAAAAGAGCAGTTTCTGTCAGAGCTCTCTCAGCCCCACCTACCTCACAGGGGGTGTCTGTTGTGGGGAGGGGAAGGGAAAGGAGTTTGTAAGCCGCTCTGAGACACCTTTGGGTAGTGAAGGGCCGGGGTATAAACCCAATCTCTTCTCTTCTATTCCTGAGCTAAGGCAAAAATGCATGAGCCGGAGGCTAAAAAACTGTGACCTAGCTCACACTGACTCAGCTTAGAGGGAACACTGCTCTGTAGCCCTCCTTCCTGAGCCGAGACAAAAATGTGTAGGCCGGAGGCTAAAGAAGTGAGCTAGCTCACACTGACTCAGCTTAGAGGGAACACTGGTTGCGATCCCCAAATCCTTCTCCGGGGGTGCTCAAAAGGGTGGACCCCTGCCCCAGTTCTCCCAGTGATCACCGCAACAAAACGAGACACGGGATAGCCAGCCCGGCCCCCCTGCACCAATGACATTTTATTGGTCGCCAGAAACAGCTTTGCCGCCCCGTGTCCCTCCCAGCAGGCTTCCCCGTTTCCCCGAGCCTTTCGGGCTCCTGAAACCATATCGCGTAGCGTCGGCAGAAGGTGTGCCTGTGGAGCCGGGTGGCTCTTCTAGAGGAACTACTCAGGGCTGATGTCAGCCAGTGCTGAAGTCGGCCAAGGCCCAGAGTTTCTGGTGGGGAACCATCGTCACTGACCTCCTTTGACATATCTCCCCGGCCACCTGCCTGCGTGCTCTTCTCTACCTGTCTGCCGGAGATGCTCTGTCACCCGTGCTCCCGGCTGCCCAGGATCATGTCGGTGGCGCCCTCGGTAGCCACGGCGGCCACACTCCCAGTTGCAATCTCCAGTCGATGCTGCCGGGGAAAGCGTGGGCAGGTGGTGCGGGAAACTGAGAAGGGGGAGGGCTCGGGGGAGGGAGAAGGATGCCTGAGCCACGTAGGGGGAGGGAGGCACGAAGGACGGCTGATGGTGAGCAGATGGGGGGGGGACCCTGGGGCACTGTCTAACCACCCCCCTTCCCATAGGAACCAGCCCCTAGATCTACCCCTGCAGCGGTGCAGTTCAGTTCCTTGTGAGAGTGACGTCGTTTTCCCCCCCATTGAAAACAAACACCAACAAAACCCAGATAGACAACTTGGGGCGGAGGGGGGAATCCCATCTGTCCTCCAGCAAGAGGGTTCTCCGTCCCCGGAAGGAACCCCTGGTGTCTCCACAGTGTTCCCAGAAGGTCAAGAGAAAGGTGGGGGGAGGAATTAAAGTTCCACAGTGCCTTACGAAGAGCCCCGACTCCTCTCCCAGCGCCGGTCTCCAACGGTTTCCTTTCACCCTGCCCTTTCTCTGCAGAGCAGGGCAGTGGCTACCTGGGGGAGGGGGGCTTTCAGTGTGTGGAGTGGCAATGCCCTGCCTGTGGGTCTCCCGGGGCATCCAGCTGGCCACTGCCCTTGACGGACTCCCTTGGTCAGATCCAGCCAGCACGGTTCCACTTCTGCCCTATCGAGGTGAATTCAAGGGCAGGGTTTGTCGTTTCTCCACAGCCTGTTCTGCCATAAGGCCTTCTGTCACCAGAGAACTTTTCCCCGGGGGGTGGGCTTATGAATTGCTCCCTACGGAGTGTAGCCGGACCGCTCCGAAGGGGCGGAATCGGTGCTCACCCCCAGCAGCAGTGACGAAGGGGCTTGAAGAAGCTACGGAGTGTAGCCGGACCGCTCCGAAGGTGCTCACCCCCAGCAGCGGTGACGAAGGGGCTTGAAGAACAGAATCTGTTTGGGATGAGGGAGACGCTCAAACCAAATCCTTTCTTACCCCTCTGGGTCACTCGTGGCAGCGGAGGTGTCCAACGTGTCCTCCCCAATCACCTTAAACAGCAGAGAAAGCAGACCTATCGGAAAGGTCGGGACGAAGGTGAAAGGTCAGGGAGGCCGCAGCAGGTCCCTCCCGGGGGGGGCTACCCACCCCCGAGGGGTTCCGTGGCATCTGCCAGGAGTCCACGCCAAAGGATTCAGCAGTGGATTTCGTATGCAATCTGAGGTTGGAACATCAGTCCCTGGTTGACGAAAAGATCGTTGGCTTCCGGGGGGCCGTCCTCTTCTCCTTCCAGGGTCTGGGTGGCTTGGTCTTGCAGCTGTTCGGGGAAGGCCCCTGCCAGGCCCTGAGGGTCCTTGTAGGTGGCGAAGAGGGGCTTGTTGCGGTCGATGACGAACATCTCGTGGCCCCTCTCATCGCGGTACTCCTCCAGCTGGGCGAAGGTGGTGGGCCCGTCGGAGTAGTCGTTGACGTAGAGGATGTTCTCCTCCTTCTTGGCCTTCTCCCGCTTGCGGTGCTTCCGGTAGATCATGATCACCAGGAAGAGGGCGACCAACGCCAGGAGGGAGATGGCCACCGCGATGGCCGTCTGCGTGGCCATGCTGAGCGCATTGAAGTCCATGCTCTCCATGTCGTAGAGGGGCTCCTGGCTGATGTCCGTGGAGGCCGGGTAGCCCCGCGACGTCTGCTGCAGCTGCTGCTGCTGGGACAGGTTGACCATGAGGTGGAAGAGCACGCGGGCCGTCCCGCCGGGGTTGGACGCCTCGCACTCATACTTGCCCGCGTGCGCCACCGTCACGTTGTTCAGGAAGAGCATCCCGCTGCCGGTGTCCGACTGCTCAAAGCGCTCCCCCACGCTGCGCTCGCTCAGCTCAAAGGTTCCGCCGGGCAGCCGGGCACCGTTGGCCCTGGATCCCCCCGCTCGCCAGTGCGCCAGCTTGCGCCACGTGACCAGCGGCTGCGGGTAGCCGGAGGCCTGGCAGGAGACACGCAGGTCGTCTCCCAGGCGGGCGGTCATCTCCAGCGGCTCCACTTGCACGACGGGCGGGATGCAGATCAAGCTGTTGCCGGAGATGTCCCGCAGGCTCTGGTAGGCCAGCCGCGGGGGCTCGGAGCAAACAATCTTCCTGTCCAGGGGGCTCAAGAGCCGCTGCCCGTCCTCCTTGATCCAGCTACTGAGCCAGTGCAGAGAGCAGTCGCAGCGCCAAGGGTTATCTGCCAGGGGAGAAAAGGCCAGCCAGATCATTCATTTATTCATTTAAAACATTTATCAGCCGCTTTTCCTCCCTTGAGGAACTTAGAGGGGACACAACTGCAGTCTTCAAGTATTTGAAGGGTTGTCATGTAGAAGATGGAGCAGATCTCTTCTCTCTTGCTCCGGATTGCAAGACTAGATCTAATGGGTGGAAATTACAAGGGAGTCAATACCGTCTAAATATCAGCAGGAGAAACTTCCTAACTGTCAGAGTGGTTGAGCAGTGGAACAGACCGCCTCGGGAGGTGGTGGATGCTCCTTCGCTGGACGTTTTCAAGTGGAGGCTGGACAGCCATCTTTCGGGGATGTTTTAGGGCTATTATCTTTCGGCTCTGCTCCTGCACAGTGCAGGGGGTTGGACTAGATGACCTGCAAGGTCCCTTCCGACTCTAGCATCCTATGATTCAAGGCAGCTGACAATATAAATAATTATTAAAAAAACACACACAAAAACACTTCAAAAAAGATGCGGACAGGGTGGAGCGGGCGCAGAGGAGAGCGACGAGGATGATTTTGGGGCCTGGAGACCAAGCCCTACGATGAAAGGCCGAGGGACTCTGGAATGTTTAATCTGGAGAAGAGGAGGCTGAGGGGGGACAGGATGGCTCTCTTGAAGTCTTTCAAGGGCTGTGTCACTCAGAGGAGGGCAGGGGGCTGTTCCTGCTGGCAGCAGAGGAGAGGACTCGCAAGAATGGGTTTAAATTAAGGGCTGGAAGGTACCGGCTGGATCCTAGGAAAAACTTTTGGACAGTCAGAGTTGTTCAGCAGTGGAATCAGCTGCCCGGGGAGGTGGTGAGCTCCCCCTCACTGGCTGTCTTGAAGCAGCAGCTGGACAAACCCTGGTCAGGGATGCTCTCGGCTGATCCTGCACTGAGCAGGGGTTGGACTAGATGGCCTCTTGGGCCCCTCATGACTGTGATTCAAAACAACCACTATAAATACATAAAAAGGCACCATTCAAAAACTGCAAACAGGACTGCCGATAAAAACTACATCAGTCAAACGCAGTCCTAGATAAAACTGTCTCCAGCTGCCTCCCGAAGGTTGAAAGTGAGGGGGGGCCAGGCACACCTCTTTGGGGGAGATAGTCCACAATAGTGGGGCCGCCACGAAAGAGGCCCTCTTTCGTGTGCCCGCCGGACGAACTTCTTTGATCGATGGAACGATCAAGAGGGCCTCTCCCTGTGATCTTAATTCCCGGGCAGGAAACATATGGGAAAAGATGGTCTTTCAGATACCCCCGTCCCAAGACATGTGGGGGCTTTAAAGGACAGAACCAACACCCTGAATTGGGCTTGGGAGCGGATCGGTAGCCAGCGTAATGGCCCTAGTAGTGGGGTCCTGGTAACTCTTGGTAGCTGGTTCTGACCAGCAGACACCCCACTCCTGTGTTAGTTCCCTCGCTCACCCTCTGGGTCCTGTTCTACTGCCCGGAAAAGGGAACGGGCCCCAGGAGTTCCCACACCCTTTTGTGACTTGGAGTAGGGTCCTTAGGATTCTTCTACCCAGTTCTAAGGACACATCTGGTACTCAAGAGCAGGCTGTGCCCGTTAGTCTCTTACAGTTTGGAAGTCTCTACTGATATTTAGCCAGTAGAATCATAGAATCACAGAATGTTAGAGTTGGAAGGGACCTTGCAGGTCATCTAGCCCAACCCCCTGCACTCTGCAGGAGCATAGCTGAAAGACAGCCCCACAACATCCCCGAAAGATGGTCGTCCACCCTCCGCTTGAAAACGTTCAGCGAAGGAGCATCCACCACCCCTCCCGAGGCAGCCTGTTCCACTGCTCAACCACTTTCACAGTTAGGAAGCTTCTCCTGATATTTAGCCAGTATCGACTCCCTTGTCATTCCCACCCATTAGACCTAGTCTTGCAATCCGGAGCAAGAGAGAACAGATCCGCTCCATCTTCTACGTGACAGCCCTTCAGATATTGGAAGACTGCAATCGTGTCCCCTCTAAGCCTTCTCTCCCAGGCAAAACAGACCCAACTCTTTCAGCCTTTCCTCATAAGACTTGGATTCCAACCCTCTCACCATCCTGGTTGCCCTCTTCTGGACACGCTCGAGCTTGTCAACCTCCTTCCTCAAATGTGGTGCTTGATAAGGGTAACCCACACGTTGCCTATCTTTACCCCTGCTGGAACTCACAACGTGAAGGTGGGACAGATTTCTACGGGAAAACAATGGGGGGGGGGCTGTGGTGGCTCAAGTGGTTAAGCCGCTGAACTGCAAACCTGACGGCAATTCGGCAGTTCGAGACCCAAGTGCTACATGATGGAGTGAGCTCCTGTCTGTGGCCCCAGCTCCTGCCAACCTAGCAGTTCGAAAGCAAGAAATGGCAAGTAGTTAAACAGGTACCACTTTGGTGGGAAGGTAACAGCGTTCCGTGCGCCTGTCTTTAGTCATGCCGGCCACATGACAACGGAGACGTCTTCGGACAGCGCTGGCTCTTCGGCTTGGAAATGGAGATGAGCACCACATCCCTAGAGTCGAATTCGACTGGCTTTCGAGCAGAGGGAAACCTTTACCTTGACTAAGGTCTTTTAAAATATTTTTGGTTATAATTTCTGTTTAAAGTGATAGCTGTATGAGCAGTACTAGACAGATAGATATACAGACAGACAGATAGAGAAAATCTATAACAGGGTGACACCATACTTTCTGGGCCTGTGAGCACCTTTGGAATTTCAATACGGTGTGGTGAGTGCAGCCACAAAATGGCTACCACAGGAGGCAGAGCCAGCCACAAAATGGCTGCTGCAGCTTGCATTCAGGCCCACCGGGAAGATCCTTGTGCTGTGGTGGTGGCCGCCGCCGCCAAACCCATGTTTTAAAAACTCCGCACAGCCAATCAAACTCACAGTGGCCAATCAGAAGGCCTGCTAGGCAAAACCCCCACCTGGGCCCTCCCACCCTAAAAACACTAGGTGAGCATCAGGAAGGGTGTTGGCAGGTGCTGTGGTATCCACACTGAGCACCCCTGGTTGAAGTCACAGCCTGCTAGCGAGATGATGCGAGAGCAGAAGAGCAGGAGCCCTTCCCAGAGAGAGGCACGTCTGTACGCAGGCTCTGCCGAGCTGAGGGGAGCCCTCCTGGCCTGCAGGTGGCGCCAGAGGAGCACTGGCGAGGCTTACCTGTCAACCGCAGCACCTGCAGGCTGATCAGAGGCCGCAGGGCCATCCGGCTGATGGTGCGCAGGTTGTTCTTGCTGAGGTCAAGCAAGGCCAGCGAGGAGAGTCCAGCCAGGGCTTGGTCCTCCAGAACCTCTATGCTGTTCTCCTGTAAGTGAAGCTCCTGCAGTCTCTGTGGGAAGAAAATCAGGCCTGGCACCATCACACACACACTCACACATGAAGCTGCTTCATATGGAGTCAGCCAAACAATAGGGACCCCAAGCGTATATGATATACAGAAATACAAAACACAAGGGTAGACCATCAAAAAAAATCCACAAATTTCACAAATTACCAGTAGACATCAGTCTATTGCAACGTAAGTACAGTCAATGGATTGATAAAGTAGAACTGGTGGTCACAACTCAAAAACACAAGTTGCAATACAAAAAACTGACAAGAAAAGGTATGGCAATCCAATAACAGAAAAAGAATCCGACAAGAGACTCCCTCTATATCCTTTCAATATAATAGTGTCCAAAAGACCTCAACTAAGTCCACAAACAAGGCAGAGGATGTCCCATGGCACAAAGAAAATTCTGCAGCCAAAAAACGCTGCATGCCAAGCAGAGACTCTTCCGCTGAGCCACTGGTTCTCCAGGGTCTCAGGCTGAGGGTCTTTCAGGCCACCTACTGCCTGGTCCTTTTAACTGGAGATGCCGGGGATTGAACCTGGGACCTTCTGCATGCCAAGCAGAGACTCTTCTGCTGAGCCACTGGTTCTCCAGGGTCTCAGGCTGAGGGTCTTTCAGGCCACCTACTGCCTGGTCCTTTTAACTGGAGATGCCGGGGATTGAACCTGGGACCTTCTGCATGCCAAGCAGAGACTCTTCTGCTGAGCCACTGGTTCTCCAGGGTCTCAGGCTGAGGGTCTTTCAGGCCACCTACTGCCTGGTCCTTTTAACTGGAGATGCCGGGGATTGAACCTGGGACCTTCTGCATGCCAAGCAGAGACTCTTCTGCTGAGCCACTGGTTCTCCAGGGTCTCAGGCTGAGGGTCTTTCAGGCCACCTACTGCCTGGTCCTTTTCACTGGAGAAGCTGGGGGTTGAACCTGGGACCTCCTCCTTGACATGCATATTTTCCACTTCTGAACCATTGCTGAGAAGGTACACACATGAAGCTGCCTTAAACTGAATCGGGCCCTTGGTCCATCAAAGTCAGTGTTGGCCTACTCAGACTGGCAGCCGCTCTCCAGGGTCTCAGGCGGAGGTCTTTCACATCTCCTGCCTGGTCTTTACTTTAGACCAAGGTGGGTAGCTGTGTTTGTCTGTCTGTCTGTAGCTGTAGAAAAGAGCAAGAGTCCAGCAGCACCTTAAAGACTGACGAAATTTGTGTCAGGGGAGGAGCTTTCGTGAATCCCTCCTCCTCCTCCTGAAGGAGGAGTGCAGTGACTGAAGAAGTGAGCAGTGACTCACAAAAGCTCCTACCCCGCCACAAAATTTGTTAGTCTTTATTTATTTATTCATTCATTCTTTAGATTTGTATCCCGCCCTCCCTGAAGGCTCAGGGCGGCTACCAAGGGCATAAATGCCTAATAAAACAATAAGAACAGTATAAAAATACAATACAATATACAACATAATCCAATCAATAAAATATCGGTGCTCCACTACTCGCTCCAATTCATACATCAAGATGGTGTTCTACAGCTGTATAGGTGCTCCTGGACTCTTGTTGTTTTCTAACGCCTGGACTTTTTAACTGGAGATGCTGGGGATTGAACCTGGGACCTTCTGCATGTCAAGCAGGTGTTCCACTACTAAGCCATCAATAAGCGGACCTCTTGTTATCCAGACTTCTGGCCCTATGGACTCTAGTCGCAGTCTTGTTGATTGAGTTAGCCTGCTTTTTTTCATGGCTCAAGATGACTTACAAACCAAAACCCAAAGAGCAAGATTTGAGTCCAGCAGCACCTTAAGAAGAAGAAGAGGAGAGATTGGATTTCTACCCCGCCCTTCACTGCCCAAAGGTGTCTCAGAGCGGCTCACAAACTCCTTTCCCTTTCCCTTCCCCTCCCCACAACAGACACCCTGTGAGGTAGGTGGGGCTGAGAGAGCCCTTGAAAGAAACTGCTCTTTTCCAAGAACAGCTCTTATCAGAACTATGGCTTGCCCAGGGTCATCCAGCCAGGTGCAAGTGGAGGAGTGAGGAATCAAACC